ACCTAACCGCCTCCCAAAATCAGTTTCAGCAGAATGCAGAAAAATAAAATTCACAGTTTCTGGTAGGTTGTTGTGATTATGAACTTGTCCTAAGGATTTGTCTGGATGGTAGTGCAGTCTAGGAATGAGGTACTGAGATAACAGGAAAGTACCCTAAAATGTTTATCCCCACATATGCGTTTTAATTAAGCATATAGAAACTTGATGAAATATCGCTATTTTACATTTTTGTTATTGCCACTCAATGTCATATAAGAGCGCTATTTTAAATTAGCACATCAATTTAAAGTCAACCCCACACAACAGACCTCATATAAAATGGATTTTCGCACATCAGACTGCCCCTGGAGGCATTTTTCCTTCCTGCATAACAGACTAAAATCCACATAACAGACTTCTGTTGGTTTAAAATTTATGGTAAAAATAAAAAATTTAATTTCTAATAATTGAATTTGCATGAAAGTTTTTTTTACCCAACAGAATACTGTATAGTCTGTTGCACAAATTAAGTCCATTGTGTGGGGGTTGACAGTACATCAATATGCTTCTCATCTTCAGCACAGGAAAATCATTTATTTAACTGCAATTCTTCCTGTTCTATTTTTGACAAAAGATGCACAGCTTCTGGAGTGAACATTGACGAAGAAAAGAAAATCAGCACACCAACTTATACGCCTGTGAAAAAATCTTCTCTGGTCTCTAATCGGGTATCAACTCAATGCACCAAGATTTCATCTGACCACAATCAGAGCAGCAACCAGAAAAGGTAATCTCAAATTGAAAAGCCGGTCGATTTCAAAAATTAAAGTCCATCTTCCCTCATTTTATTTGCTTCCTATAGACTTGACGGATTTTGTCCAGGAATAACAAACGAGGTTGAAGAGGATGATGTTTGCTTTCTGCCCCCATCAGTTGACGATCTGGACTTGATGACCCCTGGGAAACTTTGCAGGTGTCAAAACATTGTTTGAGATTCAAATTTCTTGAAAATCTTCATTACAGTTTTGAAAACTCAGGGGGTTTAAAGAAAGGGAGTTGAATGCATTGTCAACATGTGCTGGAGGAGCAGATATGAATGAAGACAATGATGAATCCAATAACAAGAGCGGATTTGGCCTTTGGATCCCCTGGGTCACCTTGCTTTTCATGGGGTTTTTGTACTCGGTCTTCTTGGGACTGTTGGGAGAAAAGTGTCAGGACCCATGCACACACCCCTGTCTTAATTATGCATCTGTTGTGTGCAAATGCCAGTACTCCAGGTGAGGCATTTATATTTAAACCTCCTAAATGAGTGCTCCTCAAATTTTTTGGGCCTGTATACACTGGAAAATTTTGAAAACATAATCTGCATAGACTGGCAAAATTTCATTAAAAAAATTGTAGACTCAGAAAGGTTTTGTTTGAAAGACTTTATATGGCTGGTATTTAAAAAGTGTATGCTTATTTTCAAAAATTAGGCCAAGAACCAATGATGCAGCTATTTAGTGGAATGATTTCAAATAATCAGAAAGGAGGGCTTGAGGAAAGGTTTCTCAGAATGAAACAACTTAAAACAATTAATTTCACAGGGCTGAAAATTTGTTTGAAGTTTTATTAGGAGAAAAGCCAACTTATTTTTTAATGATAATTTCAACTCTCATCTTTACAAAATTTCAGAGTGAGATAAAAGACTTCATTGCTATTTTTTAGGAATTTATTACTTGGGGGAAATTTCCCACAGACCAGCAAAAAATGTCTATGGACTGGTGCCAGTCTGCAGACCACAGTTTAAAGAATACTGCTCTAGAATTATGGATCATATTTTTGCATTATATTTCTTTATTTCTAAATGCTTCAATTTTGCTGATGTTCTGCAAAATGGAATTTTTTCATTAGCAATGACTTCACTTTGTTTTGAAATTCATTTCCAGACTATGGTCCTCACAGTTTGGGTTCTACAGCTGGGAGCACTTCTTGTACATCATGACAGCAGTTTTCATTGAAGGGGTCATTGCAGAGTACTTTTTTGGGCACATGTACCTTGCTGGGCTGATAACCCTGTCTGTTTTCTTGGTTGGACTTCTGTACATCCCAGTGACCTTCCTCATTTCACACATTCAATGTGCTGATGAACTCCTCACTGGATGCACATTGGGACTGAGTGGGGCCCTACTTGTGATGTTGGTTGTGCTAACTGACAAACTGGCTGGTCCACTGGGCACACTATTGTCTTGGATTTTGGCACTCATCCCATTGTATTTCTTTGTGATAATGCCATATCCAAACACTGTGCCTTTACATGTAGCTGGGGTGCTTGCCGGGTGGCTGCTGACTATGGGTGATACCAGTGAAAACATTTGCAATGCAGCTACAGCAGTTGCCTTCTCTGGGACTCAATTTGTCCATGGACTGAGTGAGTTTTCATCTTATGTATTGAAAGTTCAACAAACATTCTGATTTATGTATACTGTTTTAGGTCCTGCTACATGCTTGCTGTCATCCGCTCTCATGGCCTGGGCATCTTATCAATTATTCCCTCCTGGCCTATTAAGTTCAGTTCATGAGCAGAGAAGTTTTCCAATCATATGAACTGCGGCAATGATGTTCCTTTCTTATGTTGTTCTTTGTAACACGAATTTTCTGGGAAGTGTTTTAGGGTGAAATTGATGAAGAAATGAAAATGCCAGTTTTTATGTTGATAAATAAACGAGTTTATTTCGAATGTTGTTAGAGTAAGAAAAGAAAAAAAAATCAGTAGTAATATTCTCCTCCACCAGCAGCAAATTGTTCACCCTCTTTGGGAGGGGGAAATTGAACTGGTCTGGAAATTTCGCCAGGTCCAGCTTTCTTGAACAATTCTACAATCAACTGAGCTCCAGCAACTTGTAGTGGTCCAGCAAGTGGAATTGATGAATATCCAGCATTCAGATCTATAAAAAAATAGAATTAAGAATGAAAAAAGGTCATCCTATATATAAAGTGATTAACAGAAAAAGATCATTCTGTGTCATCACAGAATATCATCACATTAATACAATACTAAATACTGCATGTATGCAATATAAATTATATATAAATGAATAAATAAATGCAGTATTTATAAAAAAAACTTTAAAGTTTGGGTTAATACTGTATGTAATACCGTACATCATGATCCCTTGGGTTTAATTGTAGATGAGAGAGTCCACCTTGAATTGTTAGTTTGGTTCACAGTGGAAAATGACATTTAGGAAATTTCTTAACCCTTCTGCAGCAAAGTCAGACTTTTTTTGTGCAGATTTTGGGAGCACTCAGGAATGGCATTAAAGAAAAATCCCATGACAGTGTACATGGACGGCAAAGTCAGGAAAAATCCTGGTATGTTTCTAATGTTCCACAGAAAAATTTCACTTGGGAATGAAAAAAATTAAATCTTCAAGGCTCCCTTTTTTCCCCTGGCCTTCTGTCATTCCCCCATTCAAAGATTACATTTAAGCTTGAAAGCCAGGAGCCCAGGTTATAGAGGCCAATACCAAAAAAAGTCCAACTTATGACTTTCCCAGCATTTTGTTATCCCCACCCAAGTGGGGAAATTGGTGCACACTGGGGATATGTTTGTAATTCTACACAGTGACCCTGCTGTGCGCACCTAAAGGGTGCCAAAGTTCTTCTGTTGCACATGCATATCCCTAATGTGCACCAATTGTGTGTTCACACCAGGATTACTCAGGGTCACCTATTTAAACAAATAAGTTACACCAAGGTTACAGTAGGTGCATTTGTGTGATATTCCTGTTATGTCACATTTGTGCACCAAATGTAGCCCAGGGAATGGTAGCAACATTTTGTCTACAGAGGTGCATCCTTGTAACCCCAGAATAGCCTATTTACACCAATTGTGACCCCAGTGTGGACCATTTGTGGGGTCAAACAAAGAATAGCTCCCCACTTGGGCAGATAAAATCCAACTTTGCCCTTCCCCACCTGACACGGGTTGCATATATACTGTATAACCTTGTGCAAAAAATGTAATGCAGACCCAAGGGGAAAAAGGTCCAACTTCATTACCCAGGGATGGAAAAAAGAGGCTTCTGCCATCCAAGGGTTAAGTAAAAAAAAATTGTCAAATTCACCAGGGTGTAGGACAACGAATAGATAGGAGGCCAGCCATGCAGCCATTGCATTCCTGAGGGGCTCCAGCTTGGAGATGTGGGCTCCATAGATCCCAATGGCCCCCGTGATGAACACTGAAAAACCCGCAGCCGCAGCGGCACCTCTCCACTCCTTGCTGGTCAGCATGAGAAAGGGCATCCAGGGAAACAGGTTCATGGCCCAGGCAATTTCCCCGTTGATGTTGATCCACACAGCGTGACACATCATTGGCAGTGCGATGGCCGAGGACATGAGGACAATGGGCCCGTGTACCATGTGGAAGTTTTCAATGGTCATCAAGGCAACTGCAAATTTCAAAAGTCATCAAAAAAAAGTGTAAAAACATTTTCATGCCTCAAGGATGTGCTTGAAATCGAAAAAAACTGACTAATTAAATGCCATATTCTTTCAAGTATGCATGTCCAAAAAAAAAAAAAAGGAAGATTGATCCCTCAAGAAAAAATGCATCCCACTTTTGAACCATTACAAATTTTCAATTATTCAAGGATAAACTGCAATACTTAAAAATTGGACTCAGACCCAAATTATGCCTGAATTAAATGCCTCGAATATTCAAGGATTAATATGGTCAATGGAAATTATGTTAGCTGCCTTAATTTTGGCTAAATTAACTTAATCTTTGAATAAGCTAACGAATTAAGGGTACTTTCCTGTTATCTCAGTACCTACTTTTTGTGCACCTACCAGAAACTGTGAATTTCATTTTTCTGCATTCCGCTGAAACTGATTTTGGGAGGCAGTTAGGTTAGGTTAGGTCAGGTTATGTTGGTTACAAATATCTTTCAATTAACATAACCTGACCTAACCTAACTTTACCTAACCGCCTCCCAAAATCAGTTTCAGCAGAAACCCAAAGAAAGCTGAATGGTTAGGTGAAGTTAGGTTAGGTCAGGTTAACATAACCTAACTAACAGGACCTGTTTACTTAAGTTAGCTCCCAAAATCAGTTTCAGCAGAAACCCAAAGAACTGAACAATTAGGTGAAGTTAGGTTAGGTCAGGTTATGTTAACCTGACCTAACCGCCTCCCAAAATCAGTTTCAGCAGAAACCCAAAGAAAGCTGAATGGTTAGGTGAAGTTAGGTTAGGTCAGGTTATGTTAGTTACAAATATCTTCCTATAAACATAACCTGACCTAACCTAACCTAATGAATACTGAATTCACAAGATAAAGAAAAATGGGTACTGAGAAACCAAATTAAGTCTCAAAAGTCCCTAATGGGCTCGCCTATATGATGTGAGCCCAAATATACAAAAACGCAAAATAAATTCTCAATTGAAAAATTCCAGACAGCTTAATGCTTTGCAAATTTCTAAAAAGTCTGCCATTTTGAAAGAATCTCATTTTCAGCTATTATTCGAAAATTTCAATATCATTTGTATACAGCAGGTGGATTCTCTCTTCAACCAATCTCAAGGGACCAGAAAAAATTCATTGAAGAGAGAATTTCATTGTAGAGAATAACTTTGCATAAAATGCTGTGAAGAGAATCCAAGGCATGCACAAACAAATTTTATTGTTCAAACAAAATTGCTGTAGGAAAGATTTTTGTAGGGAGAGTCCACCTAAATAAATATTCACCAAGAATCATTTCGAAATGAAGTGTCTGAAGGAATACTTGAAAGTTTTTTCCATTTTTAAAAATTTAGAACTTGAGCTAAAAAGACCAAAATAATATGTGAAAATCTTCCATCTGTTGCAGTAAAAGTTGATATGTTCATACATACACTGTACTTTGAATCTGGGGACATGGAAACATGTTTAAATATCTGGAAGAGTGATGTGTCAAATGAAAAACAAAATCAAAATCAAGTCATCAAAGGTTATGCTTTAGTTCATGCTGTATTTTGAATTTCATAAAAGGAAAGACAAGTTTAAAGTACAGAATATGTTTGATATATTACTTTGCATGAAAAATTAAGCATTTCAGATAAAACTAATGACATCTTGAAATTGTTAAAAATCAAATATCTTTTCAAAACAGCAGAACAAAATGTAGAAGCTTTAATCCTTGAAAATATCTTTTGAATGTACTCATTCATATACAGAAATAATAATATATTCAAATGATTGAAATCACTCATTTTCATTGGCAAATTCTTTTTTTTTAAACATATGGAAAACCTTTGTTTGCAATAACTTGAATATACTCTGGGCAAGTTATAGCAAATTAAATTACATCTTGAAATTTGCTTCAGCTAACATTTAAAAAATGCATTCTCACCATATCTGGGTATAGCAATCAAAAGGCTGATAGCTGAAACAACCCAAGCAACCTCAAAATACCACATTTTGTGATTATCCACTTCCGTCCAGCCTCTCTCATAATCCTTCCTCAAGGTATGCAACTGGAAGGTCATAAATGCCAAGCCTACTGCCCCTATGGCACAGAATGCTGAGGCAATCGGCTGTGCTTCCCCCCTTAAATGAGCCATTACACCAAGGGTTCTGAATCATGCAATTTCCACAAGGATAACAATGATTAAAACCTAGGAGAGAGAAACCCTATAAGGCCTTGGTGCACAGCATGGTCAGCATGCAGAGAATCAGCCTTATTCTCATTGTAAAAAAAATTTAAACTGCAGCTAAAAAGTAGTTTATTCATCAGCATCTTGTATTTCAGGGAACCTTTAGAAGGGCAGGATGTAAACCAGATGAGAATATCTAGACAATAATTCCTTTCTTGTCATTTTCCAGCATTCACAGGCATGGATGAGGAACTCCAGAATTAAGCAGTCAAAAAGGTTGCCTCATTTTTTACCACCATAAAAAACTTCAGCCCAGTTTTTCATAGCATTCAGACATTCTACACATTCCCTGATCCTAAACAAAGCTCTTTCAGCTTCTTTGGACATTCCAAAGATCCCGTGGTCTCCAGTGGCATTCGGATCAATGTCAGTTGGCACAGGAGGATCCACTGTGGTCACATGCACTTCAGGAGGATTAGGGACTACTACTGGACCACTCTTTGCCCCATCCGCACCTCTACTGGCATGCCAAAACGGGATCAGCTTCTTGAGTTTCTCAAAAAGGCCACCTTTGTTGTCAGAAGGGTCCGGAGTGTCCAAAGAGTTAATCATGCCTGATGACGTTCCTGCGCAACTGAACAAGTGTGAGTAGAAAGCGGATCTCGCATTGTCATTCAAGAGGGAGTCCCTGGCGAGTTGAATGTTTCTGAGAAGATACTGAGCCGCCATGTCGCCATCTTCAGCAGCTGGGGAAAGCTTTTTCAGTTTGGCTTCGTAAGCTGTACGGATTTCCTCAGGATCCGCTCCGGGTTTCACCCCCAAGATGGCGCTGTAGTGAGTGAAAAGTTCCGCGTGCGTCCACTTCATAATTTCGTTGTCTTTTACACGGGAAAGGTTGTTGAAAGTCGCTGATGAAGTTTGAGGCTAAGGCTTAAACGGACATTTGATCATCATTGAGGCAACGTGTCGCATTCATGTGTGTGTAAAGTGTGTTCCTTTCGGAGTATATATATCCTGTAAACAGTCGAAGTTGCGTATTTCAGTGAGAATTGGTGTAATATTGACGGCGCTCTAATTTCGGAATCAAGGATCTGAGTATTTATTCGTGTGGCAAAATTTCTTCAATATAGTTTCTATAAGGCTGTTGATAATTAAATCATGGCACATCCCAACCAGCAGAGAGCCTCGCCTGCAAAAAGTGTACATGCCGGGTTTTCTGAGCGCGAAAAATCTTCGAACTCTTCGTCGCTCATCGCCTCAGCGATTACATCAGCGTCTCCGTCGAATTTGGCAAGATTGGAAAGGTTTTATTAAGTTCTTTTTATCAAGCAAGCCGTGATAACATTCGATCCATTTCCATAGACAGCTTCAATAAATAAATCACAGAGTTCCGATTTTGGAAGGAAACGAATTTACTTTCGGTCGTATAGCAGAGGCGACATCGTCCTAGAACTGATTATGTTGACTGAATTCACCTTTTAATTGTTGTCGCTAAAATTTTAAACATTTCCAAGACTGCAATCTCTTCATGAATTTGCAAGATTTTAAAGAAGTGTGTCTCAGAGAAATGAAGTGCATAAATGTATAAGCAATAAAAAGTTCTTCACCACTGCGCGTATACCCTACCATAGAGACCCATAATACAACTTTTGTTCTGACAGCAAAATTGCGTTATAACGGAATTCTCGGATCTTATTTGAGCATATAGGATTGGAATTTCATGAGAAAACAAGTAAGAAATAATAAACTGTAAACTACTTCCAGAACATATCATGTACAGTATATGTGAATAAATTCCATATTTACAGCTTCTATGAATTAAATAATAGAGAAAACTCACATTGTGAAATTTGGAATTCTCTGATTTTTCAGACATTATCCCTTCCTTGAATTCCCCAAAATCATTTGACATATTAGACTAATAAGAGCTTCTAATAACTTCATTCAATACTCAATTTCCTGTACAAATAGATTAGCATTTACATTTTCAAAAGTTCTTGAGTAATGCACAAGTTGTGTTTTCCCATATTGTGCCAATGATGCAATTTTCTGTGGCTCTTTATTCCTATACACATTCAAGTCAAATATAGCATTTGTTATATAATGCTGCGATTAAAGAGGAAACGTAGTTTGTTATAGCATCCTTTTATAACATTGTCCACTTGGTGGAGAAACTGCCGCTGAGACCAAGAAATCAATTCTTAATAAAGAAAAATCAATACTTTCCTGTTATCTCAGTACCCATTTTTCTTTGTCTCATGAATTCAGTATTCGTTTGGTTAGGTTAGGTTAATTGAAAGATATTTGTAACTAACATAACCTGACCTAACCTAACTTTACCTAACTTTACCTAACCGCCTCCCAAAATCAGTTTCAGCAGAAAGCGGAAAAATAAAATTCACAGTTTCTGGTAGGTGCACGGAAAGTAGGTACTGAGATAACAGGAAAGTACCAAAAAACCTTGGTTTAAAGGGATTTTATGGTGTTTACATAGGTTCTCTCACTGGATCCAGCCAGTGATGAGTAACGAAGTCGGTCCAATAAGGGACGACGACCGCACGTCCCTGCTGTCGGTGGCGTCCCGAGACGTGCCGCACATGGCGTACATCAAGTACACGGACATGCCAATCTCCATGCAACACGACGCCGTTTATCTGACCAACCTGGCATTCTCCGTGTGGCACGGGATCGAGGCCGAAATCGCGGGTTTCATCAAGACGAAATTCGAGGAAAAATACGGCATCCCGGGAACCCGGTCTTGGCACGTCGTGGTTGGACGCAACTACGGCTGCTTCGTCACTCACCGAACTGGATACTTGCTCTACTTTTACTTCAGGGAGCTCGCCATCTTGGTTTTCCGGACAGACGCGTAGCATCGCGCATAGCTTTGAGAAAGATACGCATCAAAGAGCGTTGTGGATCCGACATGATGCCGAAGGTCGAAATTGGAAAAGTACCGTGGGCGTATACTGTATATACCTCTACTGTAAAGTTAAATTGTGCCCCTTGGTGCATAATTAAAACAATTATATGAGTGATTCTTGAATGATCCATTTCTATTTTTGGAATTTTTGTGATGGATAAAAATGCTTCTTATATGTAATGGCATAAAAAGCCTGTACAGTCAACCCCGTCTAACGGACTTGATTTGTGCAAGGGATGAGTCTGTTAGACAAAAAGTCCTTTACACAAATTCAATTACATAAAAAATTAAAAATTTCAATTTTCAACACTAATTTTAAACCAAAAGAAGTCTGTTTGGTGGATTTTGTCTGTTGGGCAGGAGGAAAAACTGCTTGCAGAGCTGGTCTGTTTGGCAAAAATCCCTTATACGGGAGGTCTGTTAGGCGGGGGGCCACTGTATTTTTTCTATTGAGAGGGATTTTTTCATTACAGCTGGACCTTGCTGTCTTGAGTCTGATCCCTATTAGTTGGAAACTTCCCAGCAATGTCTCATTCTAATCAAGCCCTTTTCTTAATATTATACATCAAGAACAATAAATGTGATGTAATTTGTACACCTCATTAACTCCAAGACTTTCTTCTTAATAACCCCCATGTAAAACTTGAAGGCTGCTTAAACTCCTCATTTCCTTTTGCTTTGGACCACATTGCATTTTCCAGCATAACAATCAATGAACATAATGTTATGCATAAATAAATTCATCACAGAATGATTTAGTTAATTTCTTATTATCATGCAAAACTCATCACTGTGATTATGCTGTCTCACACAGATATTGTTCAGTAAATATAAACAGCTGAAAAAAAGGAGTTTACCCTGAGGCTAATTTTACTGTTTTTGACTGTTCATATATAGGGTGTAAAAGTTCGAAACACGTGATGCGTTTTGAACAACTCAGAAACCCATGTGACTTTGTGACTCTGAAAAATGGATGATGCTGGGGGGCAGGATAGCATTCATAATCTTTTCACGTGCAATCGTCTTCCATATGACAGCAGTTCAAGAGAGATAAATCTTATCTCTCTGTGAAACCTGGTCTTCCAACCATGAAGACGACTACATGCTTTTCATCCAGTTTCGCATGATATATACGCGATGTTAAAAACAATTGCGAAGATTGAAGCAATCGGAAAAATACGATTGTTTAATTGTCGAAAAAGTTCTGGTTTATAACATGACTTCTTCTTTTTTTTTAGTGGTGCGGTATTCAGGAATGTCGAAGCTTCGCTGAACATTCGGAATACGTTAATCTCACGGTGTTTTTTTTATTAGGAATATAATGAATCATAAAAAAATTTTAAAAGCTAAAATCAGGCTTTGGTGCTTGCTGGGTTTGTACGGATCTTTGCTGGTCACTTCGGTGTTCGTTTCTTTGAGAGCTGGAGAGGAACAAGCTTCTTCAACGCCATCTGGTGAGTGTTTTTGGAATTTAAATTACAAATTGGGTTGTGATTTGCTGTGCATTTTTTTTTTAGCAATATCCAACGATTTTTCCGTGTTATGTTACGGTCTATTGAATCCTTCAGGATGAGCAAAAAGACTTCCTCTGTTGAACGTACAATATTTCTAAAATAATTTAGCGTCATTCCAAGCATTTTAATTTTACATACAGCGAGATAAAACTCCGAAAGATTTATTGAAAATTGACCAAAGATTTTGAGAAAATGTTTCATGTGGGAAGAAAATAAGAGAACATTGTAAAATATTAAATTTATTGGAAATTATAGAAAATATACAATGAATGTCTTGATCAGATAAATAGTCATAATGAATACCAGATATTATTCAGTAATCAGATTTTGTCCAGTTTATTTCAATACATATTGTTATTGGTGGAAATTATGTGATATAATTCCCCAAAATATATTGCAAGAATATTCGCTATCAAGCAAATATGGATACTTGGTGTTATTCATAGCACCAGGAAGAGATAATAGATCAATATATAAACTATATTAATATTCTTCCATCCCAGTACATGTGTACTGAGCAACACGTGTATCCCCAACAACGCGCACATAGAAATTCCAGCGCATGGCAACCCCTTAACCAGGGATAACAATATGTTACCTTTTTATGGACATAATATCCAATGAATATATACAGTTTTTTCAAACTCAGTTTTTGGTGAAGGGCCTCTAATGGTGGGTAAATTTATAAAATCAGGAGACAGTCACAAAAGGAATCTTGAGCTCTGAAATATTACGTATTTCCTTGCATTTCACTATTAAAAATTCTCATATGTTGTCTTTGATCTGAAAAAAAAGAGATCCTCCACGTGATTTTGAAAGATTTGGAGGCTTCAAATACTCATGGATGATGCCATCTTCACAAGGGAGTATAATAGTGCTAAAATTTTTCAATTGTTTTTGTCTGTGTCATCTTTCAAAAGCAGCAGCAGTTCAGCAACAGCAGGTTTGGCTGACAAGGCATTTGCTGCAGCAGCCTAATGACTCCTCAACAGCCTTCTCAACTTCAGCAGAGAGACATCCAACTACAAGAACACATGATGATCTGACAAATACAACAGGAAGACCAGGTGAATATTGTAAAGGACCAGAATCAGTGGCAAAAAGGATGTTATTTGTTTTTGTTAAGCAGATTGCAACCAAATTGAAAACCTAGAGCTTTTGAGCCTGAGGAACTGTGGGTAATTTGCAAAGTTCAGATATTAATATTGCTTTTGTCTGGAAAATTTCATGCACACTATCAATTATCAGAGAAGATTTGATCAGCCAAGGAACAACATAAAATTAAAAAAGTGTGAATATTGAACATCTGAATGCTGAAGTTGCAGTTGAAAAGCCAGGGGAATGTCATATTAGAGATATTGAAGAATGAGCAAGCAAGAAAGGCCTCATTTGTTGTGGTGACAATAAGATGGCGCCAGTTGTTTGCGTTTTGAATGGCTGTATGGAATTGACTTGTGCATTAACTTATAATAATGTACACATTAATGACAAAACATTCTGCCTTGAAAGAAACTTCTGGTCTGCCAGAGGTTGAGTCCTTTGGAAGACAAAAATTCTTTAATGCCTAATCATTTTAATAATCTCCTGCCATCACAATGCCATCTTCAGTAGGGCTTATTTTTGTACATAGGACAAACATTCAGGGAACTGTGTTGAAATATAATGCTTGGAGTGACTCAAGCCTGTGTTCTAATGGTGGGAAGAACACAGCTATTGGCTCACTTTGTGTGTGGTGATCTATACTCATTTCAATTTCATTTTTCTTTATTTAAACAGTGCCCAGTAATGTTCCTGACCAAGAGAACTGCACTCACCCTGCCATAGAAGACTTTCCATCAGACTTCTTCACTCCTGCTCAGCGGGTTCATGGTGGAATTTTGGTGCATGTGATAATTGGGGCATACACTCTGCTCATTATTGCAATTGCCTGTGACGATTACTTTGTTCCCTCATTGGAAGGCATTTCAGAAGGTTTGTACACGTTTTCATAAGATAACTTGAATTTCTGAATTTATTTACATATATACATAAACTCAGCAAGCATGCATACAGCATTGAGATATTGTTGCAACAAAACCATGGATCTGAAAGACCTTTGCTGTATAATGAAAAGTTGTGGAACAAGTAGACTCTATGAACAACAAAATGCTAGGGACTAGAAAAATGTTTTGAAAGAATTATATAGTATAGAAACACGAGAATGCCTATAAGATGGTGGGGTAACTCTTTTGGAGCAGAAATTATTCATTATTCAGAGAATAACATTGTGGACAAGATTGATTTAGGGAGAGTCCACATGCATATCAAAGCAAAAACATTGTGGCTATGGATTGTTGAAAAGGAGTTTTTCAAAGCTACGCTATAATGTTGCCATAAAATTGGCTTAAAAAGGTTATATGGACTCTGCTCCCAACCATTCAGAGAATGGGTTCCAGAACACATTGGCAGTCCGTTCCCTCAATGGTTCACAGCCCAATGCCCCCATTATTTGCTGGGTATTGAACCATATTATAGGAGGTGCAGTCAAATGTAATTTTTTTGGTGCTATTGATTGATTTGGGCTTTAGCTTTGCCCTCAAATGAGCACCAACCCTAAATTTAGCTGCATGGATGCATGTGGGCACTGAGTTGATTTGAATTGCATATACTGTACTGTACTATGAGATTCAACATAATATTTCAATATGTCTTGATGAGAATTTTTAGCCAAAAGTAGGTGTGTTACTAAATTGAGGGTTGACTGGTTTCAAATTTTTCTTTAGCATTGTCACTTTCACCTGATGTGGCTGGAGCTACTTTCATGGCAGCAGGCTCATCAGCTCCAGAGCTTTTCACCAATGTTGTTGGAACTTTTGTGACTGAGGGGGACTTGGGAGTTGGGACAATTGTTGGTTCAGCAGTTTTCAACATACTTGGAGTCACTGCGCTTTGTGGACTATTTGTAGATGAGGTGCGTATGAAGCTTCCATAACAGCTTAATCATGAAAAGTGAGTCTGATGTAGTGCTGTCAAGTTTTCTCAGATAAAATGAAATTGAAAAAAAATTACAAAATCTCTTGTTTTATATTTAAATAGACAATCTGAAAGCTGAGGCTATTTCTGAAGTTCATTGTTGTGATATTCCATGAATACAATCCTATCTTTACTTCCACATGTGAATAATACTGATCCATGATTAAAACGTTTCTCAAGCTTCTGGTTTTTGCATAATGATCAATATCAAAGCTCAAAGGAGGAAAAAGAGACATGAACAGGCAAACTTTGTTTGAAGAAAAAAAAGTCCAGAAAATAAAGTTCATATATATATCCACGCAGTAAATCATTTTTATTCAACAGGCAATCCCAGTGGATTTCTGGGCTCTGACAAGAGATTGCACATTTTACCTCATATCCGTTGTTCTTCTGATCTTGGCAATAATGAATGAGGTGATCTACTGGTATGAAGGAGCTATTTTCCTATTTTTCTATCTTCTCTACATAGTTGGTGAGTTTCTTTATATTGTTGTAATATTAAATACGTTTTGGAAAATGAGACCCAATGAATGAGCCCTATATACCACCCTTTTCTGATACTTCTCAAAATATACTTATTTACACATACAAGAGGTACTTATTTACACATATTTCAGTATAGGGTGCATGTTTAGATCAAAATATAAGAGCCTTGATCTAAACATGTACCCTATACTGAAATATGTGTAAATAAGTATCTCTTGCTGACAGAGTCCTTAATTTTATGATACAGTTGAACCTCTCCAAGTCGAATGTCAATGAACCAGCAGGAAAAAAAATTCAACTTAGGGATGTTTCCATTTGGGAAAGTTTCTATTCATCAGGGAAACAAGCATATTTTGAGGGGAACGTGAAAGACTTGCAGAAAAATGCAAATGGTGATATTCTGGGGCTTAGAAATTACTTCTTAAAAGAGTTCACAGCATGCTGAACTTGAAGTCAGGGGTTTATTTGCCCTATTAGTCTGTCACTTCCTTTCAAAACACATTAAGTTACTTGTTTTATTGCTTTTCTCTTTCATGTATTAATAAAATAATACTGTATATAGCTACAAGGCTGCAGAAAATTTTACTTGAGGAGGTTTGAGAGAAAAACATTTTTATTTAGGGAGGATTTTGATACATTATTTTCAAGGGAATTCAGATAGGGACTTGAAAAAAATTCAACTTAGGGAGGTATTTGACTTAGTGAGGTTCAAATTATCAAGGTTCAACTTTATTAAATTCCCCAGGCTTCTTAGATTTCCATTTTTATGCTTCAAAATTCTTACATAAATAATATTGCTGCCATGGAACTGATCTGCACTACTTTCACTCTTCAAAGTACAGTACTGCAAATGCAATATTGTGAGCGCAAAAAATCATGTCATAATTTGTGAATTTTGTGGTCTTCATCTAAAATTCAAACTCAGCAGACCAATAATTAATTCTGAAAATTTTTTTCAAAACTGATGTAACTAGATTTTTGGGAAACACTTCTTAAAATCTCACCAAATGAAATTAACAGTGTGATGATTTTTTCTTCTTTCCAGTGATGAAGTATAATTCAGCAATTGAATTAAAGCTCAAGTGGTGGCTTGCCAAGCAAGGCGTGAATGTGGACAAATTAAATCTCCAGGCTGCTGATGAAAATGTGGCAAGAGAAGCTTTCCTTTCTGCAAGACCAGGGCCATCATATGCTTCATATGATGGTTAGTATACACGCACACATAAACAAAATTTTCATATTAATGTTTTGAGGAAAAATGCATGTTCACTTTTTGGTTGTGTAGTGGAATTTGTGTCAAACTCAAAAGCTTCTCCAGTTTTGCACAAGTCATACGAATCCACAGGGTCAGGAAGTGGGGAAGAGCAAAGACCCACTTTCAGAGTCAGCCATGATGATGGACAACATGATACTGAAACAATCACTTTACTACCCAAGCATCCTGAAGATGATGATGGTGAGTATACAAATCTGAATTAACTTGATATCCATTAAATCCTAATCTTTTATTGCATCTATATATGATGATGAACCTTAGTTTGAAAAAAAAAAAGATGAACGCATGCACTTTTAAGACCATGTATAAATTAAGGAGGTGCTGTCAGTGTCCAAAAGAGGGTTGCATTCTTGTTTCTTACCTTGAAGAATAATTTAAAATACAGGCATAATATTCAATAATTGAATACTTGAGAGTGCTTTACTTTTCCATTATTATTGATCACATGAATTGCTTTTTCTGGTTGTGACAAGTTTCTTTTTTTTTCTGCATCAGGGGACTATTGGGAAGAATTGATTGTGGCGCCATCTAAATGCATCTTCGCCTTGTCTTATTGGGTGATCAGTTGGCCAGCAAGATTTCTTCTAAAGGTTACAATTCCTGACTGTACCACAAGAAAATGGAACACTTGGTACCCACTGACATTCACAATTTCTATATTGTGGATTGGTTTTATGTCATACATCACTGCTTGGATGATCACTATAATTGGTAACAGTTTCTATAAACTGAAATTCATGTCCTATTGGCTCTGATTTTGGTCATGATTATCCAATCTTATAGGACATACACTACAGATTCCTGATTCAGTGATGGGACTAACATTTTTGGCAGCTGGAACAAGTGTACCTGAAATGGTTTCCAGCCTTGTTGTTGCCAGGCAAGGTGAGAGTAACATAATATGTGTTTTATGTTTCATAATTTACAATCTAACATCAAAGGTTTCATGCATCAATCAAATCATTTTTGTTTGAAATGTTGAAGTTTGGAAAAGTGTTTTATTCATCACATCTTTACTGAATTTCATGCAGGTCAAGGTTCCATGTCAATCAGTAACCTGGTGGGCTCGAACACCTTTGACATTTTGGTGTGTCTTGGAGCACCCTGGCTAATAAAGGCATTCATGTCTGGTCAAGTTTTGATAGCATCTACAGGACTTGTATATTCAGCAGCTGCTCTGCTGTCTACAGTTGTGCTTATGTATGGTGCCATGTTTGCCACTGGATTCCAACTTGGAAGGAAAGTTGGGTTTTCTTGTCTTTTACTGTATGCAGTGTTCTTGGTTCTGGCTCTCCTGGTTGAGCTAAATGTTTTTGGCTTGGTCAATCTGCCAGTGTGTCCAACTACTGCTTGAGAGACTTGTTTGGGATTTTTTTGTGGAAAATGTATGCATTTTTTCAAGCAAAATGTTATGGATGATTCTTGTACAATACACAATTTTCGCCTCATAAAGGAAATGAAGGATTCATTAGGTATACTGTCCTGTACTGGACTTCTTGTGAATGGTGATTTTATGCTATCAAAAATTTGACCTTCATCTCAACTGTATATAATCTTCTCATTACAACAAAGTATAGTGGCCAACAAGCACAACCTACTCCAGGAAATTTTGAATCAGATGGAAAGCCTGTAAGGTGGATTTTGCTTTCTAAAAGGAAATATCTTGGGGAATATTAGGTATTATTAGCTGGACTAATGTTGGTTAGTATGTGCAGATAAAGTAACAAACACAAGATTTATAAGCTGAAATAGTTGTTAAGAGGGTTATTTATAGCTGAAGTGCTAAAAAGTTCAATAGTTACCAACTTTTTCCAGGACAATTGTTATGCAAAGAAAATAGTATTTGCAGAACTTTGTTCTCAAATCTCAGAAAACGTTATTTTATATTGAATTCTCAACAAAAGACAGTCTCCATACAGAGCAAAATAATTGTGTAGAGTCCACTTCTGAATTTATTTTTCAAATGTACATGCCTATATATATGCATCAATCTTTGAAGCTGTTTTATTCCCAACAGCCAACAGGTCCCATGAGACTAGCCCCACCATCAATTGCAATTGTCTGACCAGTGATGAAAGATGAATCACTGCTGGCCAAAAAACAAATCAGCTTGCCAATTTCCTCCACAGTCCCACTTCTTCCCAGGGCATGGCACACCTTGGACTCTTCCTCCAGCTAAAAGAGAGCATTATTTGATGTCATTAAAAATATAATGATCTGATTTTACATGATGCTGGAAAGTGATAATTGTCAAGTTATGGCACTAAATTTAGACTCAAACAACAGACTTACATCATCTGGTGTAGGATTTGGACCAATGATGTTGTACTTTAGGTAGATATCAGTCCAAACTGCTCCAGGATTGACACCATTGACCCTAATTCCTTTCCTGGCAACATCCAAGGCACAGCATCTCACCAAATGGTCCAGTCCTGCTTTGCTAACACAATAGGCCACCACTGATGGAAACTTTTGAAGAAAAAACAGCACAGTTGTGAAAATTAAGTTTGTCTGAAAATTAAGTTCAAGGCCAATTTACTTACTGGCCTAAGACCGGAATCACTGGAGACCACCACCACACTACCCTTGGTAGCTTCCAAATGGGGCATGGCGACTTTCAGAAGCAAAAACACAGACCTCAGGTTCACATTCATGACTTCATCATAGAGTTCCATGGTTGTGTTGGCCAAGTATCCTGGAGGACAAATCCCAGCATTTGCAATCTTGTCCGAATCAAATAGAAACATAAATATTAGTTTAATACCAGCATATTGAATTATTTGACGAATTAAAATCAATGTGATGTATACCAGGATGTCAAGCCTTGAAAATCTGGCCAAAGTTTTCTCCACCAGTCCAACAGTGTCCTCTTCCTTAGCTAAATCTGCTGTGATGGTCAAAATCTAGGAAAATGAGTCAAATTAAGCTTTAAAAAAAAGTTAAAAATGACTTGAACTAACATCACTTTTGTTGACGCCAAGAGCAATGCATTTCTTAGCAACTTCTTCAAGATTGGCTGTATTTCTTCCAGTGAGGACAAGTTTGGATCCATGTTTTGCAAAGAGCTCAGCTGTTCCAGCACCAATCCCAGAACTTGATCCTAAACATGTCATAGTCACATGAAAACCTGTCTTGAAAATGTTCCTTACTTTTTCGGGAACATCAGATTTTTTTTTATAAAATCTCAACATCTATCCATGAAAATCTAGAAAACACATTTATTCAGTTGTTTTCCTTGAAATCCTAACCATCACTCACCAGTGATGAGAACCACTTTGTCTTTCAGTCCTTCATAGAACATGATTTCAAAATTTTGTTCACAAAGTACACCCCTTTCTTCAGAGTCTTGATGCACTGCCCCAGCTTACTATCAAGAATCAGACACAAATCCACCTGCTTTTTTTTATTAATTTTTAAGACGAATTTTTCTTGAATATAATAAATTGTAAAAATTGAATTTCCAATTTCCAGACGATTAAAAAGGGGTGGAGATGATTCAAAACTTGAAAAATGTGTGGTACGTATTCACCTGGGTATGACTACAAAATACAGGCAGGAAACTTGAAAGTAGAAAAGAACCACTCAATAGAATAAATTCCAAAAATTACCGGATACATCCGGAAAGCCACGCAAATAAATTCAGAGTTTATAGAATGTGCACATGATTGCAAAGATGTTTTAAATGAACCCCAATTTCACTCTTTTTAAAGATTTCTGCTCAATAACTCCTTCAGAAATTCCCCAAAATGTTTTGGGGAATTTGCTGCTGCGCAAAAAATTTTATGGAAAATTGACAACCCAAAAAGGTTGGGGAACACTGGTTTATAGAACACACTATACATAGAATTTTTCAACTACAAATGAACTTTTCATCACTCCATAAAATCCATCCAGTCTCTTCTATATAAGGTTCACTTCCACAGCTCACACAGGGGAAGAGAGGAGTGGTATCAGGAAAACCATGCTTACTTACGCATGCACAAGTGTGAGTTATGCAGAAAAGGAATGTTCCAAAAGTTTTTTCAGCTATGTTGTGTCCCAAAGCAATGCAGCTCCAGCATCTGGCCAAAACCGGCCCAGAAAACTTGTTGGATCTTGAGGCCAGTGAACATTGCCAAAATCCCATTTTTGGGAGCCTCACTCAAAGGACAAGAAGTGGTCATCACTTCCTCAATTTCATCAAAATTGGCCAATCCTGACCCAGTCCAAGCACCTGGGTATAAAACCCTTCATTCCTCCTTGAGAGGAGAAGTGAGAACATAGTGTTGAAGGGCCTTTTAACTTAAATTACCTCATGCAATATTCTGAGCTAACCAACCAATCTTACGATTGACGCTGTCATTACAACCATTCAATTAACAGCCAATTGATGATCTGGACAATGAAAATGAACTCCTCTGAAAAGAGTTTGAGTTCTTACTCAAAACTTGCATCCTGATGGCTGCACAATTCAATTCCTTTGTCTGGGATCCAATGGACCCATGACAAGCTGTATGATACTGGTATTGCAATCATTCATCTAGCACAACATTCCATTGGGTAATTGGCACCCTAAATTTTGAAAGAGTAAATTTGGATAAACTAAATCCCTTTACATGAAATTTAGATTTCGGTGATCCATTGATTCAATACTAGATACAAGTTTAAATTTTGGTTGCAGTAAATGTTGAATGCAAAATAAAAAAGCAAATTAAAACATTGTTTATTGGTCTCAATGTGTTAAAAGTTACTTAAATCTTTAAAGTTAATCTTGAAAGTTACTTCTACCTTTGACTATGAAATATTGCACTGTGATTTGAGTGCTGGAATGATTTTAAGAAATTTGAAAGCTCGTGGAATAATGTAAACCAAAGTAAGATGCACACCCTTTTTTAAATTTCTAGAAAAAAAGGTTCGCATGTTACTTAAATTAATGTTGAATGCAGCTCATAATTGACATGTTGTGAAATGAAGTCATTTGAAATATCTTTGATCATGGCTTTATGTATTTGATTGTAATTCTGATTTTAGCATACATACCAACCATGTTTCACATTTTGTGTGAATTTCTTTGATTGGCAGCTTATATAGTGGGGTATACATACTAATTACTTGAGTCTATTGCCATGTTTAGAAATCCTATTTCAGAAGAGTTTTTTTGTTTCTCAGATTTTGTAAATTATTTTTAACACGATGGGGGTTTCAATTACTTCACCGTGTTTGGCAACACTTAGATCATCTGCAGGTTATAAATGCAAGAGTTTCAGGAAAACTCCCTGTAAATTTCTAAAACAAAATTAATTAAACGAAACATTCTTGGTGAGGACACAATCAAATACTGTATTACTCTGCAAAATATAACACAAAGACGATGCACAAAACAAGGAAAGCACTGTAAAATACATAAGTTTTGAAAGAGCCCTAGAGTTTTGTTTACCATTCAGAGCAAGGAGCGGGAGGGAGCGGGTATATGAGTACTAGTACAAATGCGAGTGGGACAAAACTTCGCCCTCACATGAAATACTCGCAGATCATTGACTACTGTTAAATGGGACAAACTCCTCCACATAGGCGTACAGTGAATATAATCTTTTTTATTTTATTTAGAGAGCATACTTTTCTTTGATAAGATCAGGTGGAACAGAATTGAAAAGCCATCAATGGCTCTTTGCATGACCCTGTAACTGTGAGTTGCAGAAATTTGTATTTTTTTATAATTGTGGCAATGCTCAGCATCCAAAGAAATAATGTTGGAAAGGTTTTCATTAGAGGCAGAAGAATAACATATTTATGATGTGCTGTGTGTTTTCAGGGGCATATTAATTTATTCACATTTTAAAGGCAGAGCACCCAATTCAAAGTAAAAATAAAATCTCCATTTTCTGGATGGAGTGGATTTTTCAACCTTCTAATTTCTCTCCCAATGTTCAATTGTGTTGGGGAAAATAATAGAACACTGGTGAAAAAAAAAAGATTTTGAAAAACCTTCTACAGGAATCTCCCTGGCACACACATTCCTCTGTTTACACCAAACTCATTGAGTCCCCCCCCCCATAAGTTTTAAGCATTGCATGAAACTGTGTGACACATTAAAACTCATTTGTATTTGTGTTCTTTTTAGCATGGCCTTTATTGTTCTTCTCAGGTCTTAGCAGCAAAACAAATATATTTTTAACTGCACATTTTTGGAAAGTTTCACTTTGTCATAATACATATGCATGATATCACTCTAAAATGTCCATCCCTTTGGGCAACTTTAAATTTGTTCACCCTCTGCTCAGAGAAAAAAGAATATTTATTGAATTGATACTAGCTTGAAAGTTTCTTTTGCGAAAAAGATTGATGTCATTCCCAACATCCAACAGGACCCATGAGACCTGCTCCACCTTCAATTGCAATGGTCTGGCCAGTGATGAAGGATGAATCACTGCTGGCCAAAAAGCAAATCAGCTTGCCAACTTCCTCCACAGTCCCACTTCTTCCCAGTGCATGGTAAACCTTTGACACTTCCTCCAGCTTCAATGAAAATCCTTTCAAAGCATGTATAATTGAATCAGCAAAAACAGGAAATTTATGCTTACATCATCAGGTGTGGGGTTGGAACCAATTATGTTGTACTTTTTGTAGGCATCAGTCCAAATTGCCCCAGGATTGACACCATTGACCCTAATGCCTTTCCTGGCAACATCCAAAGCACAGCATCTCACCAAATGGTCCAGTCCTGCTTTGCTTACACAATAGGCCACCATGGATGGGAACTTTTGAAGGATGACAGTCCAATGACAAAATCACCCTTCATAATCCCTTGAAAATTTTAAAAACAATGCACTTACTGGCCTAAGACCTGAATCACTGGAGACCACCACCACACTACCCTTGGTAGCTTCCAAATGGGGCATGGCGACTTTCAGAAGCAAAAACACAGACCTCAGGTTCACATTCATGACTTCATCATAGAGTTCCATGGTTGTGTTTGCCAAGTATGCAGGAGGACAAATCCCAGCATTTGCAATCTTGTCCAAATCAAATAGAAACATATATATTAGTTTAATACCAGTATATTGAATTAGTTGACAAATTAAAATCAATGTGTATACCAGGATGTCAAGCCTTGAAAATCTGGCCAAAGTTTTCTCCACCAGTCCAACAGTGTCCTCTTCCTTAGCCAAATCAGCTGTGATGGTCAAAATCTAGGAAAATGAGTCAAATTAAGCTTTAAAAAATTTTTAAAAATGACTTGAACTAACATCACTTTTGTTGACGCCAAGAGCAATGCATTTCTTTGCAACTTCTTCAAGATTGGTTGTATTCCTTCCTGTGAGGACAAGTTTAGATCCATGTTTGGCAAAGAGCTCAGCTGTTCCTGCACCAATTCCAGAACTAGATCCTGATGGATGAAATAATCATTCTTCAAATTTGAAAAAGTCATTCTATATTCCCACAATCAGTGACACGAATTCCGATTATATTGATTGTAAAAATATGATATAGTAACGGTTGTAACACACACGAAATTATTTATCATTTTATCAGTAAACATTTACATCATTCACTCAAAATTTGCAGACAATGCATCTATTTGAGATTTTCATGTGCTTTGAAGTTGAAATGTTATGAAATGCATCCAGTGTAACTTGAGCAGCTTTCAGAAGAAAACATTGAAAGCAGATTTGAGTGAACTCATAGGAAAACAAGTTATTACATGTGATAGTTCTTCCTGTAGAATAAAATTTACTCACCAGTAATGAGAACAACCTTGTCTTTCAGGCCTTCGTAAAACATGGTTGAAAAGCTTGTTATGTTGCAAAACAGTCCTTTAAAAAAATGATATCCTGCTTATCACTGAAGCAGCTCCAAATGAAACTACATACACAGGCTGGTTTATCACACCAGTGTCACTCACTTTGAACCCTCAGCTGAATCAGGAATATGCATTTAGAGAAA